CTTATTTTTGTGGGGGCAGCTATCTCTGTTGATTTCCTCACTCAAGAACATTATGAAGTCATTGGAGTTTTATTTTATTCCCAGTGATGAATTTTCCAGTATATCAGTTGTCTTCATCTTATAAGCTATGGCAGTTTCTTTTTGCAGGGATAGAAATGAATGACGATGAACTTGCTCATTTTGTTGAGCATGTTGATAAAGACAATAATGGAATTATAACCTTTGAAGAATGGAGAGATTTTCTTCTGCTTTATCCTCACGATGCTACTATAGAAAACATATATCGCTACTTGCATAGGGTATATCTTGTAGATATTGGTGAACAGGCCGTGATTCCCGAAGGCATCAGCAAGCATGTTCATGCAACCAAATATCTGATTGCAGGTGCAGTTGCAGGAGCTGCATCTCGTACTGCAACTGCACCTCTTGATCGCCTAAAGGTGGTGTTACAGGTACAAACTGATCATGCTGCTATTATTCCTGCAGTAAAAAAAATATGGAAGGAAGGTGGCTTTTTGGGGTTTTTTCGGGGTAACGGGTTAAATGTATTGAAAGTTGCACCTGAAAGTGCTATCAAGTTTTACACTTATGAAACACTGAAAACTATAATTGGAGATGCTAAAGGTGAAAAGGAGGGGGATATCGGAACTGTGGGGAGACTTGTTGCTGGTGGATTGGCTGGAGCTGTGGCACAAACTTCTATTTATCCAATGGATCTTGTGAAAACTCGATTACAAACTTATGCTTGTGAAGGAGGAAATGTGCCCAGTCTGAGGAAATTATCTAAAGATATTTGGGTTCAGGAGGGACCTCGAGCATTTTACAGAGGGTTGGTGCCATCTCTTCTTGGAATGATTCCTTATGCAGGCATTGACCTAGCTGCCTATGAGACCTTGAAAGATATGTCCAAGAAATATATTCTTCACGACAGTGGTATTGCCTACATTCTCTCTGTTTCTGAGTACATGCTTGTCTTTTATTTCATCAGATGTATCACGATCGTTCCAATTGTAAAAACTTCCCATGTTATGCAGAACCTGGTCCTCTTGTGCAACTTGGCTGTGGAACAATTTCGGGAGGACTTGGGGCAACTTGTGTTTACCCTCTGCAGGTGATACGAACGAGGTAAAGTATTCACATTTTCGTTCTTTTCTACTAGTCAATTTTGTTTGCTTGGTTGAGTTCATAGAGTAAATGTGATATTACTTCCACCTTTGCTAACAAGTAAAGTTTCCAGAATGCAAGCTCAGCGCATGAATACAGATGCTGCTTACCAGGGAATGTCGGATGTATTCTATAGAACATTTCAGCGTGAAGGTTTAAGGGGATTCTATAAAGGACTATTCCCAAATCTTCTTAAAGT